TTGGCTGAGCAGATTATGGGTGCTTGGTCTTGACGCAGACCTTGACGCAGACTTCGAAGACTCAGTGGCAGAATGTCCATTGTGACGACGTCTCTCATACACCCCTTTGGGGCTCTCCTGCGGAACAACAACAACGGTGATCATCTGCCCGCCTCGGCCACATGAGCTCCCCAGATGAGGTTTCGGGCTTGGGAGCGGGTCTCAACTCAGAGGGTGGGGAGCAGGGCGGCGTCCAGCAGGACAGCCCTGGAGGCCAGCAGGGGCTCGGCCTCGGCCATGAGCAGGGGGCACCGCTCAACAATGAGGGGGAGGGTGGGGTCCCAGCCCGCGGGGACCTCGAGGTCAAGAAGGAAGTGGTGAAAGCAACAGGGACCTTCCTGTGGAGTCAGGAAGACCGACCTGGCTCGCAGAAGATCAGAAATGAAGATAACCTGGATCATGGGTCATGCTATCAAGAGCCTGAAGATTTCGCAGCCATCTTGCAACATTTGTTACATCTGGATGAACAGAGCGGGTTCCGGAGCAAGTCGTCCACAGAAAGCTGCGACACCCACGAATCCACCTCCTGGGAGGACCCAGACAAAGAGCCCACTGACAGAAGCACTACTGTCCCTAGCAATTCTAGTGCAGAATCACAGCGGACGTCTCACGCCCTTAGTGTGCCTGAAGGAGGCCAGGCATGGGGAACCCCTAGAAGAGGCCCCAAAAGAAGCCTGAGCACCACTATGGATCTCCCAAGGCCCTCCATAGAAATCAAGGCAGGGCCTTCATCCTCAGTCGCGTACAGGAAGAGACAACAGATGAGGATGAGCATTTGCTCCAAAGCTGCTGGCTGGCCCGAAAATCTCAAAGATCCATCGAGACATCCCACTCCCCACGTCCAGAAGAACATCTTTCACACAGCCAGCTCTTTCGTGGCCACCACTCCGCGGCGATTCTCCTCCGCTTCAGAAAGGCAGCCTGTTGAAGAGCTAGACTGCTCTTCAATGAAAAAAACACAAAGCCGCACCGTCTGGAGCCTGAGACAACCCAGGCCCACCTACTCAGGCCCTACAGCTGGAGGTGCCTTGCCCCGGGTTACATCTACAAGGAAGGGAGGCCATCAGAAGGTCTGCCCCAGCGATGCCTCGAGAATTACCATGCTAAGAAAACCGCCATCCTTGCCTTCGTGGGGGCAGAGGTTCTCCAGAGGTCCCCCGGAGCCAGCCACCTTGCCTCCCATCTTTGGCATTCCACTGCTTGTGAAGCCCAAGAAAGACTCTT